ACAAATGTTCTCTTGGTCACAGGCACAAACTTATTCACTGTTACATCAATCATGCTTATCTCTGATTCAACATCTAAATGTTTACATGCATGCTTATTTCATCACCTAGCCTGAGTAGAGGTGGACAAACTTTCCCACGATGGCTGCATAGGTTGCAACTTGGCCCCCAAGGCACATGTCAATGGCCAACCTTTCAAAGTCATGGGATGCTTCAGCACTTGTGGATACATGGTCCACCAAGCTGGCCATGAGCTCAACCTTGTTCTGGTGGGCAAATAAATGTGCAGGAATTGTTGGCCTTTTCAATGAGTGATGGTAGCCTGGGGAATGCTTCCTCCACATGGGCTGCTATAATGGTCCAGCTCCAGCCTACTGTGACCATAGTGTGGAGAGTCTTGTCCTGTCTGAGCAGCACTGGGTTCAAATGGCCATCTGGTCCTTTGAGGGATGGTTGGTCAGTGACAGCTCCAGCAACAATTCTTTGATGAACTGGCTGGTGTGGGATGAGCTCACAGATAGGAACCGCTCTGCACCTGTTGGCTTGGCTGTGCTTGCATGCTGGCTCACATCCCACACATTGGCAACTGCCATGCCATTAGCCTGGTGGCTTGGCGGCTTGACTGCATTGCTATTAGCCTGATGGCTTGACTTCATGCCATGTGGCTAGCCTGGTGGCATGTGGCTTGCTGCCAAAAAGCACATTTTGGGAATTAGATTCTTGCATGCGTTTTTCAAGCCAATGCCAAGGCTACAACATTCAAACGCACTGCCAGTGAGGGCGTGTCCTTGCAGCCAATGCCCATAGGTTCTGCACCATAATCTTGCCCCAGCAGCTACGCAAGACCTTCTGGGTTTGACAATCGATATCCATTCTGACCACCCAGCTTCATTGGTGCACCCACAGGCAGCCCACCTCTGTGTCCACAACATGTTACCCAGCTGCTTAGTCCAAGAGAGGAAGCATAAGATTGTGAAGATGTATGGCCAGACCATATCCAACACTGTGAAATTCGATTGGTCGACCATGCAGGAAATACTTTGCCATGATTTATTTGTGCTCTCAGAAGCCCACCAACAACATGCAGAAGTTCCAACAGTCCCACTTTGACCAGGAAGATGTGTGGGTGTGTATACCTGCAACCAGCAGGCCATTGCTGCTGGACAAGTCCACATCCATGCCAGCATTGGTTGTGAAATGTACAGCTGAGTGTCAAGTTGTGAAGAAATACAAAAGGACAAAACAAAACCTGGTGTGCTGTTTGCAAGCCAACTGACCAAGCAGCCATTGTAAAAACATCACAAATGCTGCGCGCCACAAATGCGAATGCAAAGTTCTTATCCCGTTGAGGGCTAGGTGCAAGGAATCCGCATTCCACATGGTAGAAATACCCAGTACCATAGTAAGACCCAATACGCTACAGGTTGACTATAGAAGTCATGCATTTGAACTCTTTAACATGTGAACTAAGATGTCATGTGTAGGAGTTGTACAGTTTGACATGCGCACTTTGCAGCCTTTTGCATCAAGGACAAAAAGGGTTTGACCGCTTTCGCATGGTAGCGGAGCTGGTTACCTGGAACTCGCCTTCGAGGACCAGGACCGGTTCCACGGGTAACACCGTTCTGTGAGCGGGTGATACCGCAGCTGCGACAGTAGCAGCGCGGGAACAGCGGCTCCGGGCAACCGGTGCGGCAAGCCGTCGCCACGGGCAAGGGCGGCAAAGGAAAGGGAAAGGACGCCCGCAAGAGGAGCGCAGCAGCGCTCGAGAAGAGACTTTATAGGTCAGTGGCAAGGCGGTGCGAACGTCTGCGACAGAACGAGGAAGAGCCGAACACCTTTGTGGAGGCACCAAGGGTCGAGAACCTCACGGCCAGGGAAGCGCTCGCTTTGCAGAGCATCCCGGAGGAGGCTGAGCAGATCGAGGGCATCTCCGGCGTGTCAAGGGCTTCGAGACCCACCAGAAAGTGCACGGTGCGGCGAAGAACGCCGTCGAGAAGTTCAGAGGCAAGCACCCAGGCTTAGCAAAGCTTTTCGAGAAGAATCCGGGCATTAGTGTTCGGAAATCCTACGTGCGGGAGATTGCCAAGAACAGGGTCTCTCGCGGGCTTGGGCCACTGGCAACGGAAGAGGCGAGCAGTTCGTCAAGGCCAGGTCTTGAGACTCTCGAAATACCGCCGACGGTAAGAGAGTCGGAAGCGAACTACTCGGTGATAGAGAGCGCCACGCACCCAGCAACTTCTGTGTGGTACTCGGACGACGAAGATCCGATCGAGGAGTGGACACCTCAGGACAAACGAGAGGACCTCGACACCAACCGCGACCAGCCAGCGGAGGTGAACCAGAACGGAAACAGGCAGGACACGGACGCAAACAGCAGCTTCGCGGACAGCGAAAGCTCTGCGAGTTCGTACAGTTGGGCTTCCAGCTGGTCAGGAGCTTCGGGAACCGCGTGGAGTTGGGCACCCAGCACCTACGACGATTGGTCGTGGAGATGTGGTGGCCAAAAGAAGAGCGGGTGATACCGCACAGTTGTGACTGTGCATCTTGGAAAATCACTTGCACGTGTGTTTTGTAAATAGCAATGGCTAGTGCAGAGCAAATGCAAGCGCAGATAAATGAGCTTGTACAGCAACAGTCAAACCTGATGGAAGCTCTCCGAAGGGCAAATCAGGGATATGAGAGCCAAACTCAGAGACTCAGGCAAACTGAGGATAGGCTTCAGGCTCAGGAAACCGTGATACAACAGATGGCAGCGCAAACGACCGCAGTGCACACGCCACAGACAACGCGCGTGAACACATTGATAGACCCACGGCATGTTCCCAAACCACCAATTTATAGCGGCAAGAAAGAAGAGTGGGAGAAATTCAGGCACATTTTGTGGCTTGGCTTTCAGCAGTTCATGCAAGTTTTCCGGATTTGCTTGACAGGTTTGGTTCGGGTAAGACTCCTGTTGAAGAAACTGAATTGTCTGATGATGAAATTCAGTTGTCACAGGCGCTTTACACGTTTCTTGTTCAGTATTGCCCTGAATCAACCATGAATGTGATAGGCCAAGGAACCACAGGCACCAACGGCTTTGAAGTGTGGAGACGCTTGGTGAAGATGTCAGAACCTTCCTACAGGACAAAAGCATGGGTCTGGAAAAGACATCTTTCGAATCCCAACTTCCCGAATGACATCACGCAGTGGAGCTCAGCTCTTCATCAGTGGGAGTCTGAACTCAGAGAGTTTGAGAAGCAATTCAAAACCCCGTTTTCAGAGGATGAGAAAGTTTCTATTCTGGCTCATGTTTCTCCGAAGGAACTTCAGCAGACGCTTTGGATACCTACCAGAAGATTAGAGACTACATCGAGCAGTATCTCATTGACAAGAACTTGTGGAAGAGACCGCAAGGATCCAGTTTTGGAATTACGAAGGTTGCCAACAAAGTTGATCAACCACCTCAAGATGGACCAACACCCATGGACATCGGTGCGTTGCAGGACAACTACCACAAAGGAAAAGGGGGAAAAGGACGTGATCAGAAAGGTGGAAAAGGGAAAGACCACAAAGGAAAATCCAAAGGCGAGCACAACAAGTCGGGCAAGAACAACTGGCATCAAGACGATTGGCAGAAGAAAGGTGGAAAAGGCCAGTACTACCAGCAGTACCAAAAGCAGGACAAAGGAAAAGGAAAAGGTCAAAATGCCAAAGGCAAACAGGACAATGGGAAAGGCAAAGGACATGTGAGCAATCCACACGCAGGCAAACAGTGTCATGTTTGTAAGAAGCATGGTCACATTGCTGCAGACTGTTGGTGGAAAGTTGGCAGTGTTGAGAATGCAGAGCAAATTGACCCTGACAACAAAGGATCAACTGGCTCAGGTGGAGTTGGAGCGATTGCAGGAGATGTGATCTTCACCATCAACAATGTTCAGCAACACGTGTCGGCTTGCAGCTCGGATCCTTCACATGTTTCCTTGTTGGTTGACTCTGGAGCTTGCGAGAGTGTGCTAGGAAAGGAGAGTTTGAGAGCCCAGTTGACAGTCGACTTGCAAAAACTGCTTTTCAGTATCCTGAAGTGCAGGTAGGCAGTATGAGAGGCCAAGTTGAAATGACCGTGACGGATGCAGCTGAGAGTCTTGTGAGTGTGCATAGTTTGGTCAGCAAGGGGTATGACGTCAACTTCTCAAGCCAGGGATGTTTTGTAGACACAGGACATGAGAAGATCCCTCTGGAAATGCATCGCTTGCCGATGGTATCACAAGGTTGAAAAGCGGCCTCGCGGGGAACACCGTTTAGCCACAAGACGGGTAGCACCGGTAGCGCCAGATCCTGACAGATGGAAATTTGAACAAGTCTCTGGTAGACGCTTCATGGTGCGAGTTCACAACATGCATCGCAGACAGCTGTTCAATCCAGTTCTCACCAATTGCCCAGTTAGCGCAGATGGACTGTTTGATCACAGGGTGACATACAGGACGTTCACAAACGCTGAACGAGACACTGTTGAGGACAGATGGGTTGACAGGGGATCGAGCAAGGCTAGTGAAGTTCACTGGCAAGGAGAGACATCGTTTGAAATCAGGCCAGAAGTTGACATGGATGCTGAGAGGGTCAGTCAGGAAGAAAATGCGGCACAAGCGGCACGAAGAAGGAAGCAAGCAGAGAGATAATTTCGTGCAGAACAAGATGCGGACTGGCTGTACTTCGATGCAGATCAAGCAGCCAAGGAAGACAAGGAAATCACAGATGACATGACCTTGCAGCTGAAAGAACTTTCTGAAGGCGTGAGAGAAGACAGATGGTTGAAGTTCCAGATGCATCTTCGATGGAGGAGCTAGAACAACACCGAGTGCATCATGCCAACTATGAGCCATGGTGTCCTAGTTGTGTGGCAGGACAAGGTAGAGAGAAACCTCACAGGAGGAACAAGAAGGAAAAGCAAGAACACGTGGTTTACTCGGACTACATGTTCTTCACGAAAGAAGGAATGAAGGTCAGTGAGCCAACCGAGGCTCAAAAGAAGAACAAGGAGCTGGTCACAGTTTTGACAGCAATTGACCAGGACAGCCAGGCACCATTTGCTGTTGTTGTTCCAAGCAAAGGCGGGGCAGCATACGCAGTGGGAGCGATCTCGGCTTGGGTCAAAGACTTGGGTTGGGACAAGGTCACCATCCACACAGACCAAGAGAACTCTTTGAACCATCTGTACGAAAAGGTGACGGACAAGCTGGGCAATGACAAGGTGCAGCTTCGTAAATCACCCAGGTACAGTTCGGCTTCATTGGGCTCTGGGGAGATGGTGAACGGACTGATAGCCGGAAAGATCAGGACATGGCTTGTTGATTTGCGAGAAAGGTACGGCAACGATGACATTGACATTGGTCACGTGTTGTTTCCATGGATCGTGAGGCACGTTTCGTGGAGCATGGCGAGGTTTCACGTGAACAAGACGAAGACGACGGCGCACAGGATCTTGAAAGGACATGATTACCTGGGAGAACTCTTGCCGATGGGCGAGACCGTCATGGCAAAGTACCCCAACGTGAAGGACAGGGCGAAGAGCGACTCCAGATGGGTGAAAGGCATCTATGCTGGAAAGACAACGCAGTTGGACGAGCACATAGCCCTCACAGAAGCAGGGGCAGACACTTTCCGCACAGTGAGAAGGTTACCGCTGGGCTCACAGCATCAGCTGGTCGTTCTTGAACAGGCGAGAGGTGCACCCTGGAACACTGTGGAGGGCATCGAGAAGGCGAAGCCAGAGGGCATCCGCTCCAAAGTAGACGTGAGACAACTGCAGGAACCCATCCTCGAAACAGAAGTAACTAGAGGGTCGGGATCCGCGGGTGACATTGCGCCACGTGAGCGGGAGATACCGCCGGTGTTTGTGCCAGCGCCGAAAATCTCCGGGCGCAGCATCGATCCGGACGGGCCGCCGGAAGAAAAGAAGACAAAGAAGACAAGAGGGGCAGAAGAAGTTACGCCTGACGTCGGGAAGCACGGCGACAAGAAAGCGAAGGTTAGAGAGAGCGTTGAGAGGCGATGGCAATTGCCTGGCCTTTGGCGCTGCAACCTCCTTGCTTGCTGAACCAGATGAGCTTGAGCTTTCACTCTCCGAGTGAATTCTGTAGTGTTCGGCTTTCCGCTTCGTCGACGGAGAACGTTCCGCCTCAGCTTCCATCTGCTCAGAACTTTTCCGGGCACGGCGCCTTCCGTAGTGACACAAGACATGATTTCGAACATCGCCCAAGGTGATGTGATCAACGCGTTTGATTGCTGCAGGGAGAATGCGGTAAAAGAGCGTCTTGGAGAGAATCATGGTTTAGAGAAAGACTTGGAAACTGTTGAGAGCACTTTTGAGACATATTTGAAAAGGGAACCTGCAAGTTTGCAGAACATTGCAAATGTCATGGATTGGATGGACAGCATCATGCTAGAGGCCGATGATATGAAGAAGGCACGGCTTGATGAGATTAGGAAACTTGAGCAAACATTCAAGGCATTTACAGTGAGAGACAGACGCGAATTGCCAAAGGACTTGACAGTGTTTGGACACCGATGGGTTGACAAAGTGTCCGAAGGAATCTGCAAAGCAAGGTTGACGTGCCAAGACTTCAAGAAGAAGCAGAGCCCTGAGGAACGACTCAGCTCAGAGCAGGGCACGAATTTCTGTCCGACACTAGTTCAGTGACATGCAAGATCATTGAAGTTTACAGTTTGTTGCATCAATTTCCACGTGTGAAGGCAGATTTGACATCAGCGTTCCTGATTGCCAAAGATGGAGGTGACAAGCAGGGACAACCTGTTTTCATGAGGCCACCCAAGGAATGGCTTGAAGAATATGACACCTGGATTTTGAGCCAGGAAAAGGAAATTCAGGAGTACCTCAAAGATGTACCTCGTGAGGAGCTCATTTGGCAGGTTGATGGCAACATCTATGGAAGACAATCTGCAGCAGCTCAATACCGGGATCGACCTGAGGAGATGCTCACCAACAAGGTTTCCGGGAGATACCGCTTCAAGAGGGGCAAACTAGATGCTTGTGTGTATCGGTGTGAACTCACCGGAACCGTTCTCATTCACCACATCGACGATTTTGATATGTGTGGACCACATCGACGATTGATTTGCTTACTGTTCAATTTCCGGGGAATGGTTGCAAGCTCAAAATGGGCCACTTGGAATTCCCTGATGTTGGCAGTAAAGTCAGCCCCGAATTTTTGGGAAGAACCCAAATTAATGTTGAGGGGGCTATTATCACCAAGCCACATGAGAGGCATGCGCAAACCATTTTGAAGGCACTTGGACTGGAGGATTGCAAACCTAGCCCAGTACCAGGAAAGAAGCTCGACCTCAAGCAGGACCAGGAGCTAAGTGCAGCTGAAAGGGAAACCTATGCAAGTTGCGTGGGCAGTGCAATTTACCTTTCACAGGATCGCAGTGACATCAAGTTTGCAGTGAAAGAACTAGCAAAGAGGATTCGAAACCCTCGACTATGTGACTGGCAGAATCTCAAAACACTCGGCAGATATTTGAAAGGGACACTGGAATGTGGACACACCACGACACTGGCAAGTGGAGTGGACCGACACCATCCAGTACCAGTTCATGCATACTGTGATTCAGATTGGGCTGGTGACGAGGAAAGCAGAAAGAGCACAAGTGGAGAAGTGTTAGTTCTAGGAGGGACTGTGATTGAGACAGGCAGTCACACGCAGCAAGGAACTCCAGCGACGAGCAGTGCAGAGGCGGAGATCAGAAGTCTCACGCATTGCGCACAATCGGCAGTGCGTGTGAAGAATCTCTGTGAACAAGATTTTGGAATGGAAGTAGAAATGCCCAGGATTTGGTGTGACTCAAGTGCAGCATTGCAAGCAGCAAAGAAATTAGGAGCAGGAAAGATGCGACATCTTGCTGTAGGGCATTTGTACATCCAGGAACTCGTGAAAGAGAAGCAGGTTGCGATCGCGAAGGTTGACGGGAAGCAGAATCCCGCGGACGCGCTCACGAAGCATTTGGTGACAGGAGAAGACCTGAGGATTGCGCGTGAGAGACTTGGCATTGTTGATTTGACTCAGGCAGGTTTAGACAAACATGTTTCAAAACACGGCATGACGAGTGTGAGTACAGTCATGCACAGACGGACAACACACCGGACGCGTGCAAACCGTGGAAACCACTCATGGGCTCAAAGCTCAGCCTGCGCGCGGACCACAGTAGTGTGCAACGCAACAAAAGGGTGACACCTTACGTCAAGGATGGAGGTGGCACACAGTGTTGCGGGTGACACCGCAGATTGGTACCTTAAGCTGTTGTTTGTTAGCTTGGCTCTCAACATCAGTATGGTGCTATGCATCTGCAGTGTTGGACTGTTCCAGCTAGGTCGAACCTGGCAGAGCAGGAAGTTTCACTAAAAGATCCAGAAGATTGAGTCTGTGATTTTGTCACGCACAGGAGATAGGTTCCACTTGGGTGTTGGCTGTGGAGCCATCTCAGGTCGCAAGGGAGTGCGATCAATTCAGAAGTGTCAGCTTTGTGGCTGAATCCCGGGCCACATAGCATGGCATGCCATTTCTACCAAGGGGGTGCAAGGAATCTGCATTCCATATGGTAGAAATACCCAATACGCTACAGGTTGACTATAGAAGTCATGCATTTGAACTCTTTAACATGTGAACTAAGATGTCATGTGTAGGAGTTGTACAGTTTGACATGCGCACTTTGCAGCCTTTTGCATCAAGGACAAAAAGGGTTTGACCGCTTTCGCACTAGGTGGGCGCGTGTTGGCTGAATGGATTGAACAAATTAATGGTTGCTTGTCAGTTGCTTCTCAGCAAACCACAGGGCTAGTCATTCAAGCTTGGTGTTTGCTTGGCTTTTGTGCAGGCTTCTTGTTTGATGAACTTTCCTCAGCTTGACAGTATATAGGTCCCATGTGAGTACTGAACCTCTGGCTTTCATTGCAAACAGTTAACTGCAATGGTGAAGCCTTGTTGGATGAGCAGGTCCTTGGTATCCAGCCGGGCTAAAACTTACAACCAAGATGGTGCTGACACACGCAATGAAATTCATGTCATGGTAGCCATCTGGCTCATGTTCCATGAAGATTGCATGTCGTGGTAGCCACCTGGCTTATGATTCATCAATAATGCTTATGAGCAGTATGAGCTTGCCTTGACTGGTCACGCATGAGCTTTTGTATCATGAGCTCATATGGCTTATCCATTTTAATAAATGCACATGCTCAGCTTTGATTTGCATAATGATGAGCAGCACTGCCAAAGCCTTTATCTATTTTCTCAAAATGCTCTGGCGAGTCTAAACAAATTGCTGCCAACAAGCCAGAATAAATAAACAATAAATCATATGTTTGACCATCACTCCAAATGTGATAAACCTAGTATGTTTTTTGCTAACCACTTAGCTAACCACTTAGCTAACCCCTGGCTAACCTCTTAGCTTTCCCCCTAACTTACGCCCTTAGCTAACTAGTGAGCATTTGCTAATAAAAAATAAATCTTTGCCCCAATGTCCTACTAACTCTAACAAACCCCCGGTGCATCCCAGGAATGCAGCCCCGCGAAGTGGAAAAGAGACCCGCGAAGGGGAAAGAGCTCCGCGAAGGGGAAGAGCCCCGCAAAAGGAAAGAGCCCCGCAAAGAAGGGGAAGAATGCAGCCCCGCGAAGGGGAAAGAGCCCCGGAAGAGCCCTGCAAACGGGAATGCAGCCCGAAGGGAATGCACGCCCGCGAAGGGAATGCAGCCCCGCGAAGTGGAAAGAGCCCCGCGAAGGGGAAAAAGCCCCGCGAAGGGGAAGAGCCCCGCAAAGGGAAAGCAGCCCCACGAAGGGGAAAGAGCCCCGCGAAGGGAATGCAGCCCCGCAAAGGGAATGCAGCCCCGCGAAGGGAATGCAGCCCCGCGAAGGGGAAAGAGCCCCGCGAAGGGGAAGAGCCTCGCGAAGGGAATGCAGCCCCGCGAAGGGGAAAGAGCCCTGCGAAGAAAAAAACATCCGCGCAGGGGAAGCGCCCCGCGAAGGGAATGCAGCCCCGCGAAGGGCCGCGAAGGGGGAAGCCGCCCCGCGAAGGGAATGCAGCCCCGCGAAGGGGAAAGAGCCCCGCGAAGAGAAAGAGCCCCGCGAAGGGAATGCCGCCCCGCGAAGAGAAAAGAGCCCTGCGAAGGGGGGAAGAGCCCTGCGAAGGGGAAGAGCCCGCGAAGGGAATGCAGCCCCGCGAAGGGAATGCAGACCCGCGAAGGGGAAAGAGCCCTGCGAAGGGGAAGAGCCCCGCGAAGGGAATGCAGCCCCGCGATGGGGAAAGAGCCCCGCAAAGGGCATAGACCCCGCGAAGGGGATAGAGCCCTGCGAAGGGGGTAGCTTCCAGGCTGAAAAGGAACCCGGCGCAGGGGAAGACTTGCGAAGAGAAAAAAGGTGCAGGGGAAGGGGGGGTGACGGGCCATGCCCCGTTGAGGGGATGGGAAGGCTCGAAAAGAAGGAATCAAGGTGGAAAACAAAGGTGGGGAGGTTGGAAAAAATGCAATCAAGGTTGATTCAGAGAAAAAACAAGGTGAACAAAAAGTGTGGCAAGGTTGAAAAAACATGAAGTGCCGACCCTGAAATTGAAAAAGAAGGGGACAAGGTAGAAAAAAAAGCTTAAGGTTGAAAAAAAAGGGTCCAAGGTTGAAAAAAAGGCATGCCCAAACACATTGATATCAATTCCGGCAAAGTAAAACTCTATCTAACTTCAGGATGCACTCTTAAGCCCGCAGAGCGGCAATCTACAACTACCTTCTTCGCAAACCACCTTCTTCCCCAGAACCTGTTTAATCTCAGATTTGACCTTCTGGGGGCGCAGGGAGGGAGGGAGGGAGGGTTAATTCATGGGTTTTTAACATGACAGAACAGTGGCCAACAATGAACATGCAGCACAATGCAACCAGGACCCAACATGTCGCCCATGATGTTTGAAGGTTTGGCCAACAGCGAAATGGTTTGTAACACCTGGCCACCGCTGACACCCTTCCGCGCCTCTCAAGCACCGCTCCAGCCTCCGATTCCAAGCGGTCGCACAGCATGCCTCAGCTGCAAACATCCCAAACCATCCCAACTGAAAACAATGCATCCAGGCAGCCCAGAACTTCGTCAAAGTCTTCACGCCTCAGGCCCTCGTATCTGTAAGCCAGGATGGTCAAGCCGATCACCACCTCGGCTGCCGAGCTGAGAGCACTGACCCCTACACAAAGCCGACCCATGCACAGGAGGACATGCCCTTTTTATGCTGATGACATTCAGCTGAGGCACATCCGGATGCGCAAACTCACTGGACTGTGACGGCACATCTTTGCCTGCCAGCTAGCACGTGCTTCAGACATCTGTGGCTGACTCAGGCATCTCGGCCTACTGCCTTTCGCAACTGCGGCACGCATCCGCACGTGTTCCACATATTCTGATGCGTCGTCGGCCTAGCCCTCCGCAAACTGAGCCAAGGGCCTACGAAGGGAATGGCCAGCTTCGCCCGTGTCAAAGGCATCAGGGGCTGCTCTGCCAAAGCAGCTGACACCTGAGGGTAACGATGCCTGCAAACGGTTGATGATTCCGTCTGCTAGTCAGAAGTCTGAGAAAAATTGAAATCAGAAATCAGCTACAGTAAACTAGCTTGAGTGCGGATGTTCATTGGCCCACGCCCGCAAAGAGCAGGATACACTCCTGGCCTGCTCTGAGGACATGATGCCGAAGGTGACGCGGTCAATCTTTTGCAGGCTGAAGGGTAAAAACACCTGGAGAGCCAACAACAGGTTCCCCTTGCATCCCCTTGATGTAAATGCTCCGCATCCATCCAGGCATCATGACGCCCGTCTCCACGTGTCAATGCTGAGTGAAATGAGCCATGACTTGCAGCCCATAACCTTGGTGCAGACTCATGTTCCATCAAGCATCCCCCCGCGGCCATTCACAAAAAAATACTTCGCGTGGAGAAATGGCCTTGGCTCTTCTGCAAAAGCTCACAGCGGCTCGGATCCGTTCCCTGCCTGAAGCCAGTCCCAGCTCCTTGAGCGACAAAGAGTACTGCCAAAACCCGGACAAGCAAGAAAACAAGGCAAGTCGGGCAGGCAGGGCACACACACCCCTTGCAGGCAGCACCAGGCCCAACCAAGCCAAACACAACAAGGGGTACAAGTCAGTCCCAAAACAAAGCTGATAGGAAAATAACAACAGAATCAACATATGTCGAAACTCATTAGAAGGATCTTCTTACTGTATCCAACCAGCACTGTTCAAGTGTGAGGTGCAGCTAAATCAGAAGCCCCGTCAAAAGCGGGGCACCAACAGGCAGCCAACCAACATGGTGTCCCGTTTGTAAGGAACAAACATGTCCAGGGCCCGAAATCAAGAAACTGTCAAACGGTCCAACCCCTGGAGAAAGCAACGTCCGACATCAATTCTACAAGATGCTTAAACATAATATCAAATCGGCCCTCCACTTCCCATGGCACAATGTCGTTGAGAAGCAGGTCTATGTCTCCAACAGCTGCTGAGACATACGCAGGAAACCGGTGCAGCCCAGGCTCAGGTTCATGGACTTTGCATCCTTCGCAGGCAGCCTCTCCACTCGTTGGCCGCGGACATCTGCCCCTGCCTGGCAATTTGCGCGCCGGGGTCAGGGGCTCATGTCTCAAACACTGGAGGGCACCAGCAATCGTTTGAGCAGGCCTAGGCCGGCTGAACAAAATGTAAGCATACGGGCAATCCAATGCTTAGGGGCACGATCAGTCTGGATTTCTCCAACTCCCTTCCTGAGTGGATTGGCCACAAAAAATCTGAACTTTGCATTTCCCACGACAAATCCCACGACCATCTACGGAGTTCAACCCGACCGAAGGCTCCTGGGTCTCCTCCAGCACCAGCCGCACGTTCCCTTTTTCCAGCGGCTCCAGGCGTGTGGCCAGGTAGGAGGACCGGGCCACTGGCTCAAAGCCGCCTGTGAACCAAAGCCGTGGATAATTTTTGAGGCGATTTTTTCCGTGGGTTGGAAAAGGGGAGAACAAACAGCGTAAGCGTTGCGGCCTAAATTTCTGCCGCAAATCAAAAACGGCGCATTTTTGGATTTGCGGCATTTCTTCTGAGTTGCGGTTGTTTTTTTGCGGCAGAAGTTTTTTCCACCCCCAGATTTGCGGCAGACATCGGCGGGAATGCGGCGGAAATTCCCGAAAACAAACGGTGTTGCGGCATGTTTTTTTTGTTGCGGTGTTTTTGTTTTGGTTGCGGCTGATTTTCTGGAATGCCGCAATGCGTTGCGGCAGAAAAATCCGCCGCAGGAAGTTCTAGGTCTGTTTGATGGGTCCCCTACTTTGAGGCACACTCAAAAAGGACCAGGATTTCAGTTTCGGTTTACCTTTCAGACAGCCATCGCTCTGAAAAGGTTGCCACGAGGGCGCCGTCAGCAAAATGGTTGAAGCAATCGATCTGCATGGGTCGCGTTGCGTGTCATCTGGCTTCTAGAGAGAGCAATGGCCAAAACTCGGCCACCCATCACCCATCCATGATAAATTATTCCCCTTGTGCCCACTAAAGGGTAGAGCGCGTTCACCACTACAAGTTAGGCAGGATAGCTTTTTGAGGGCGGCCCTCTCGCTGTGAAACTGCTGTTTTTTTGCATGTTGTCTGTTGGGGAGGTGGGCGAGTGGGTCGAGCGGGGGGAACAGCATTCCTTCTTCACTGCCTACGTGCTGCTACTCTTGTGCCATCCGGCAGCCGTCGGGCTTGCGCTCTTCAGGCTTTGTCTTGCTTCTTCAAGGTCTCCACTTCGTGCATTGCTTGCCAAACGCGGGTCTTGGCCGCAGGTAGAGAGAGCCGGGGACCTGGGTGAACACAAACTCAGCCGCAAGCAAAGAAGTAGAAAGAAATGCGCAAATGCAGGGCGCGGCGAAGGAGAGAAGACAGCAAAACGTGGATCCAGAGAGCGCCAAGGGCAGCAACGAGGCTCCAAGACAGCAAGTACCTATCCTCAAGCAGAGAGACGTTTGCAGAACAAAGTGAAGCATGGGGCCCCTGCAAAACCTCTGACGGTGCCCACAAGCGGCTTGAGCTCTGAGACTGGCAAAGCCAACCCTGCCCTGTATAGTTGGGCGTATGCGCACGCTTGGCAAACATACGAGCTGCTGCGATCGCCCTCTAGCAAAGATACAGCAGGAAAACCAAAGCGCCGCAAATGCACGCCTTCCTCCAAAAGTGCAAAAACAACTTCGTGTTGCTCTGACTTACAGCCTGCCAAAGATGCAATCGGTGTGAAAGAACACCTGGTCACCTAGTTTTCACTGGCAAGCGCAGTAGTCTTGCAATAAGCCTTAGGTTGAAGGCAAATCAATGTCGACAAGTCACAACTTAAGCAACATAGCCGTTTTGAAACCCAAAGAAGTAGCTCAACATAGTCTAAAACCTGAAAACATATTGGAGTTTCACGAAATGCTTGCCTAGTTGTTCACATTGCGCAATCTAGGTCTGACTCTGATACTCTTGCCATCAACTTTGCCCCTTTTAATATCTGATCACGGCCTGTTTTTGCACGGGCATCCTTTCTCTGCCGCAGCCCCGGGTCTTGCGGAAATAAGCGTGGTACTGTACCATCCCCGTCGTCAAGTGTGGCGAGCATTCATTGGTCAAAGCGGTTGATGCGCGAAGCAAAGCAGCAGAAATCGCTAATATTTCTGTAGACCCTGATTCGTTCTCCCGGGACTCATGGAGGGTTGCAGTCCAGCAAGCGCCTCCTCCCGTTTCCGGGCGCGGCAGCTCCAAACGTCCGGGGCCAGCTTTCGTGCCGACAGCGCCTCAGCGTGGCTCTAGGCTCTTGCAATAAGAAGCACTGCATATTGGAGCAGTGGATCCGAGCTCTCGAACAGGTTCTACCTGGACCCAAACCAATCCTGCAGGCCTGAGGCCGCTGCCGTTGAGCACGTCCAAGATCCATGCGGAGGAAGTCCGCGCCATGGTGCTGCCGCCGCCGGCACGCGCCAGGCAGCCCTGCCACACCTCGGGCAGCCACAGGCACACGTGAAAAGTATGTCCCAGCCAGGAGCCCCAAACACTATCATGCAACTTGTGCATTGCTGCATTCCACACCAAACAGCGAACCAGACGTCAATCGACCTCGGAACCGTGGCCATTTGGCGGGGCGGTACTTTAGCGGCTCAGTACTGTGCATGATCACTAGCCAAGAACAAGCGCATAGACTGAACATATAATTTGATTGAGCATTCTCAGTGAACATGAGACATATTGATGTTGCGATTCTAACATTGAGTTGCTTTGATGCACCCCCTGCTCCGTGAGTCGCAGGACTCTAATTGGGTAAAAGATTCAACCACAAGCATGAAGCAAACCTGGGCTGTCCTCAGATCTGCGAAAAGTGTTTAACTTTGGGTTAAATGGAACCCCAACACTAAATCAGCTAAAAAGCTGAAACACATGTAGGAAACCCTACCTCTAAACCCACAAAAAAGCTCAACAAGGGGAGCTGCTTGGCTCCGTTCTATAGATTCAAGGGTTACCGGTTTGGGGCCCAAAGGGAAACAACAAACCGTCCAAGTGCGCTGCTCGCACATTTTTACGCTTGAACAGCCACACTGCGGATGCAATGGATGTAAAACCCCATATTGACCGATCAAATTCTTCACCCCCCTCTGCGTGTTAAAGGGGCCTTTCACAAAGCAGTCAAACGGTAACACAACAGAGGGAGAAGGTCAGGGGAACCATTGTTACACGCAAACCATGACAGTTGCGCTTTCAGCGCCACTGCCAAGTTGAATAGCTACCGCTACTGTTGTCCCATCCGCTCCATCCGGACCAATTCTGCCAGCTGCCTTGGCTCCAATGCTCACCCTCGCGGGCGGCGGGAGCTCTTGTCTCGGCATAGCGAGCGGCATTGCGAGCAAGGTGTTTGCTGCTCTCGTTCCTCGAAAATTCGATCGAGTTACGTGCATACCGCTCATTCTGGCTGAAAATCCAGTCCATCTCGTTGCGGAGGTCGTCCAACGTGTTGCTTCGCAGATGGATGATGCCATTCCAACAACCAATGCTGCGAGGCTTGTCTTGCTCAAAGACCACGTTGATGAAGGCTCTTGGGCTGTAAGGCATCCCTTGGAACATAATGATCCAGCGAGAGGAAAGAGCATCTTGAAGTTCGTTGGGCAGGAACTCCAACTCTGTCTTGATATACGCGAGCCTTGCGATTCGCGACTCCGAAGTTGATCCAAGGCCAACTCCCAGAGTGCGCTGGGCTTGCGACTGCTTTGGAGCAGCCAAGACGAGATTTGCGCTCAACTCCATGCGGAGCATGTCCGCCTCCCGACGGCCCACCTCAAGCATACGAACCCTGTATTGAAGGTCGAGTTCATAGCGGTCAAGAAGAGAGTGGTAGCCGTTCTTCAGGGCGGACTTGAGCTTCTTCCGTGCCTCCTGAATGACAGCACTGTCCGGGGAGTTCAAGCCACGAATGATGCTGCTACGATCCTCCTCGCGGAGGTCAAATGTTCCCACAGATGCCAGGACCTGAGCTGTGACGTGGGTGCTGAGGCCCATCTTCTTCAGCAAATTGGAACGCTGCACGATGTAATTCTTCTGTTGCTCTTTCAGCAGGCGTGGGTTGAGGGGAGACAACTGCCCACATGATGAGCAGTGGACCTGCCCCTCGAATACACTGTTGTTGCAAACCGGGCACGTGGCGACGTTCAGCTCAACGTTCTCCATTGGGTTGAAAGTCTTCTGTCTCTTCGCTTCCCCTTGCGGGGCGCGAGGAGAAGCCACATTTGTGCGCGTTGTAGCAATACGTTCCAGCGCTGATGAACGATCATCAACCACGGCTTGGTCGCGCCTCATTCCCTGGGGTTCATCCTCAGTCGCCTCAGCTGGTGCACCTGCATCCGATTGCTCGGAGCGAGTGTACCATACATCGCCATTTGTAGCGTCCAATACGGAAATAATTGTGTAGTTGGGCACCTTGTCGCGCGTAAGGACGCCGTCGCTCTCCGTCTTGAAAAAGCAGAGTCCTGCGCGAATGGCCATTCTGAGGTCGATCTGTATCTCCAGGGGTTTGTTCGCACGTAAACCTGAGATGTAATTTTCATTCGTGCTTGGGACGTCAGCGAAGAAAACGTGAGGTCTGCCTGTCTCGTGCTGGTCCCCTCCTCCTGGAAGCAGTCCGTTCCGCATGATGTTAGCGAAGTTTCGCTTATCAGTCCGGTGATAAAGCACCGTAGGAGGGTTGCTGCAAACGTTCCAGCCAGACGTTCACGTACCACTCCTTCGCGATGCCGGCGTCGTCGATCTGTAGCCAGTCCTCATGGCCTTGAGAGGCCTTCAGCTTGAAAAGCCAATGAGAACATGGGACGTCTCCGCGCCGGCTTGCGTCCGGGCAACCAAGCCCAATGAACCTCTGCTTCTTGTCCAGCTTGAAGATGTCCATGATATTCTGCATGTTCCATGGAATGGGATGTCGCAGCTCCTTGCGAAGCGCGAGTCCCAGGTCTTCGAGGTCCATGTAGCCGTCCTCATCCATCACATACCCGCATCCTTCTGTTCCACGACCACGGAGGATCTTGGAGATGCACGTCAGGGAACGGTGGTATTCTTCACTGATTCTCCTGACGGAAGGGTCGTAATCAAAAGAGGGCTGCTTGATGATGTCGAGTCTCTTGGGGCCCTCACCGTAGTCGACATACTTCACGCCATCATGAATGCTATACACCCAGCAGTCATAGTGGCCCCCAGTCACGCTCCTCCCGTAGGAGTCGAGTGGTACCGGCCTGCTCGCCGCCTCGTCCCTCTTTGCCACCGCAGCCGCTTTTGCACCGGCTTGCGCCGGGCGAACACTTTCGGAAACATCTGCACCGGAAGGCTCACCTGAAGTTGCAAACTCGGCTGGGTTGACGGGGGCGAAATCGAGAGGCTGCCGGACTTCCACTTCTTCACGGGTGAAAGGGAGCCCGATCATCTCTGACAAAGAAACACCGCACTTCGTTAGCGTCTCCTTGCAGTACGCGAGAACCTCAACGTTGACTGTACAATCATCTTGGTGGCGCACCTCGAGCACATCGATCGGACGTACGGTACAGTCGTGCGAACGTGTCAGCTCGGCTACGCTGCCCATTGCGGGGCGCAAGATAGAAAGCATATACAACATGTGATGGGTTCCGCGCATGAACTGGACGGTCTTCGTGATGCTGTCGTCACTGAAGCACATATGGCACCTGTCCAGCAAATCGATGGTCTCGACGAAGGGTGTAGCATCTACGTACACAAACATATGATTGGGGTCGCCGATGATGTAATCCCGGACTGCCGTCATGTAACGGTCCCAAATCATAGAGAAGCCGTAGAGATAGCTTTTCGCGCCGGTCATGATTCCAAGGCATGCGCAGCCCTTGCGGGCCGCGAAATCCCTGGTCCAAGCCAGGCGCCTCTTGGTGTCTGCCAGCAACTGACTGGCCTCGCCGGCGGGTTGGTCGAACGGGTAGGTGCCGCTGGGCTCAATGCCGTCCTTCCCAACAAGCTCATTGCCGTTCCAATAAATCATCGGAACGATGGTCGCCGTTGGGTAGTCCGTACGCACCTCGTCGATAAGGGCGGCCATGCGCTTGCACAGCTGTTGTAAGCCCTTGCCCCAAAGCATTTCTGACCTCCATGCACCGACACGCGCCGGGCGAGAAGCATCCAAGCGTTCTGCAAAGTCATACTTGCGAAGCTTCTTCTTCTTGCCCGAAACCATTGAAAGTCCTGAGTCAGCGACTGTCAAATAAATAAGGAGGTCGCGATCTGGTACACGTGGGGCCTGCACAACCTTCAAATAAGGTTCGCTTATAGTTAACAGGGGTGTAAGCAACTGCAAGTAATGCGGTTGGTCCTGCACCCATGTATGAATAAGCGACTGTGCAGAAGTCGTCTCCAGGAGGCCCTTGACCGTAGCGGCGAGGTTAGCGTCGTACTTGCCGTTCGTGCATACCGATGTGGTAGCGACATTCTCCATCCACCTCCTCCATGCCGGATCGCAATCCCTCGCGGGATGCGCCATAGCCGTTGGGCCGCTCATTGCGAAAACGATGCAGCACAATCACTCGAAAGCAACGGCTGCATGGTGGCATGTTCGGAAAATGCATTGTGAACGGCATCAGTGTAAATGTACGTGTATCCCTCGGCTTCCTTCAAGTGGGTGCCACGGCTTTCATCATGCTCGTGAGAACCATCACATTTGAAGTACTCAACAAAGGAAATAGTGGGCATATTACTGGCAACGACCCATTGCTTTTTCATGGGTTTTCCATTTCTCCCTTTGATACCGATTTTGCAACCATGGAATTCATACTTGTTCATCTTGTACTTAGTCAAGAAACTCCATAGTTCAGGCCATTTCCAATAACGACATGCCTTGGGGAGTTCGAAGGCAACTCTAATGTCATTAGAATAAACATCATTGAGAATGCGTTTGAACCCTCTCAACAGTGATCGGAATTGCTTGATATGGCCCTCAATCTTGGCAGCACCTTTGGGAGTTTGCTGGTTGACATAACCCCACGGGCATCCTCCAGTGCATGGCAACGAAACGTAGAACATTATTGCGCCCTTAGGATTCTTGCTCCTGAATTCGGCGATTTCACGGCCTAACCACTGCCTGCACGTATCGGAGCACCCGTCTTCGGTTTCAGTTACCCGAATGACACGGCAACCTTTTGAAGAGTCTCTTGATTCGCCCAACCGTGAGGTCGTCGAACAACAGAATTCAATAAGGAGGCGCTTGGGCTGAACGTTGCATAACGCAGCGATCTGCCCCCCCTGATCACTAACTTCTCCGGCCTTGGCGCATGGAGGAAGCAGCAAACTGGTGGCACAGGCTCGCGCCTGGCGATTGGGGGAGATACCGATCAGCTCAAGTGCATGATGCCACACTGGGGTGCTGTCAAACGCCTTGGTCAAGATGTCTGCAGCTTGGAGGGTAGTGTCAACATTGATTAGTTCGAACTGCCTATTCACGAATTGCT